TTTACATGGTCCTACCCTATGAGCATAAAGTTTTCATTTTACTCTTATCTATTATGTTAAATTTAAAATTATAATTGTTCTATGATTTTCCATTTTATAATTTAGTTTAGAAGAAAATAAATTTTTCCTCCTTTTGTACAAAGTGATCTTATCTTAACCATATATATATTTTTTACTTTGCAAAAATTTAATTCCAATTAACAAAAGTGAACAAAGTAAAATTTATTTTGAGTATTTACAACAAAAATGAACTAGAAGATATCAAAGATTCAAACATTTTACGCTAAATTTATTGCGATTTCAGTATTATGATAACATTATTTTATTTTTTTTAAGTTAATATAGTATAAACGTTAAGATGATTTATTTTTTTAAAATATTAGAGACAATGCACTATATTAAACGACATAAAATTTTATTAAATGATATTGATAATGTATTTATATATGTTGATTTGTAAATTATTTGTCATGCGAATTTGCAAAATATATAATTTTTTTAAGAAACCAACCATGATTCATTTTATTTAAAAATATAACAACAATATTTATAATCACAAAAATACATGATATCATCTATTCAAAAGTATGAAAAAATATATTTTAAAGAGATAAGATAATAAAGGAAAATATATTTTGTTATATTTAAATATACTTTGTCAAATTCAAATATATAATATTAATGCACCTACCACTTTTGCGAGCTGAGGAAGGATGACCTGACCTTGTTCCTTAAGAACATCATATGCCATGTTATTAACTGTGTTGTAAAGAGCTAAAAAGCATATCTTCATGCAGCCAGGAAGATGCTGCAAAGCATTGATATCCCATCTGCAACAAGAGCACCAAAATTTCGATAAAAAAATAATTAATTAAATTTGTGTTTTGAAGAACAAAAATGCAATAAATTTATTGTTTTTTACAAGTACAAACCTCTCAATAGCATCTGTAAATTGTTCAAGTTCTTCAAGAGAGCCATAAACATCATAAACATCATCTATAATAGTGATTAGCTTCGCCACTTTGGTTAAACCTTTTGTGCATTCACTAAATTGTGGCTCAAATACCATTCCAACTGACCAAAAGAAGCTCTCCATCAGCCTGTCTCTTGCAAAGTACAACTTATTTGCTAAGCCCACATCCTTCCACCAACTATAAAATTTTCAAGAAACTATAATTACAATTGATAATATATAAATGAGAGAGAAATCATGTTAATTATTATCCATTTTAGATTTGTAAATTTAGATTCAATATAATTACATATCGGGGACCATATGCGAACTCTTGAAATTAACCGCATGCATATTCCATAACTTCATACCAGATGAAGGGGTTAAGTAGCCAAACACACTGAGAATTCATATTGCCTAAGCTTTGATGGTGTTATATGTATATATAGAGAGATAGAAATAATCTACTAAGAATCTATCACATAACAAATTAATACATTAGTGGATAACAAATTTAAGGGACGTTCGTTTCCCATTTTTGAAAAAATGAGAATAAAAAATATAGTCGTTATGGCCCCACAGAAGAGATAGAAATTCAAATTTGGTGGCTTGATGTGATGGATAACGATTATATTTTTTATTTTAATGGAAAAAGAATGGGAAATGAATAAGAGCTTAATTCATAAATTGTGATTCATCTCCATCTTTTAGAGATAATGTCATTTTAGATTGAAATTTATTCAGTAATAAAATT